CCTGAATAAATAGTCAGGTATTGCATGTTTTAAAAATTCTTGTGGCACACCAGTTGAAAATCGATGGCGTATTCCATAAGTTAACACATTAGAAACAGCTATACTTCTATCCAAATATGTAACAAATCTCCTATATTTCATAATTTGCTCAACCAATTGTTTCTTAGAAAATTCTAGCAAGGTTTTCTATAGATCTCTTATTCATATACATTTATATAAATTTTTGGTGTTACCATGTTATTGTCTTTATATTATTACAGCAGGAAAACAAATGCTCCCCAAATGGTTTGGCACTTTTTTTCTTTTACTAACAAATATCAAAAGACGTTTATTATTCAACAGCTAACAGTAGGTTTTGTGAAACTTAAACAGTAGCTGATTTGAATTTTTATGTTTTTTATAAATTGCTGATAAAATTGTTGATTTTTATTCTCATACTTAGGATTTTTAGTTTTTAAAATCTCACCAATTGTGAGATGGTTTCATATTACCACATCTTATATTTGAAGATACCATTTACAGCTAGGGAAGGATTCATGATTAATAACAACAGCCTGCGGGTAATTTTGAAATTTGTTTAACCTGTCAGATCTGATCATTGTTTTAACTCATCAAGTAGCAGAAGGAAAGCTTGAACTAGCACACAGGTCAAGCAATGCCATATTGTTGTAGCTTCTGCTTACACTATTGTTGTTATCTCAATTCCTTAAAAAATAAAAGTAAGAATCCTTTTAAGCCAGCATCTATGAGAGTCAGTTTAATCAAAATTAAATATAGTCCATAAATCCATTTAACCAGGACACCTAAATGTCAATGTTTTACAATGCGCTAAAAGCAAACAAAAGAGTGAGGGTCCCAGCATTAACCCTTCTTACATGTGGAACTCCATGCTTCCCTCCTCCTACCCACTCCTCTTAGAGCCATTTCTGGTCAGTATGCCAGAAATAAGGACTAGGTGTGTCAACAGCAATCCATATGTTATTATCAATAAAGCTGATTTCTTAGTACCTTTTTTTTTACCTAAAAAAAAAGAAAATCACATTTTCTTCTAACATTTAATCGCCTCAGTACCCTCCTGAGATGTACATCACCACATATTGCCCATCCTTATTTCAAAGACCATCCCTCACCTATATCCCAGAATGTGGACCTTACTGTGGCAACAGCTGAAAAACTCAAAGCAGAGGGATAAATTCGATTATTTATAAGCACCTGGAGTCCTAGCCTGGACATAGTTGTTGGTCAAGTGAAGGTGACACATGCCAGCTCTGGGTCTGAGTTAAGCCGCTCAATTCCCCTTACATGTATAGGAGACATGAAGTAAGGGAAGCAAGACCCAGTGCTTCTAATTATTGGGCCAATTCCTTTGTCTCAATTTTCCTTGCTTCATCATCAGAGCTCGGCAACATTAAAAACTCCACTGGGAGCTCTGCCAGAATTTACTACGTATCTGATTCATAGTCTAGCACTTTGCTTGTATTCCACACCTAGCAAATGAAATTCTAATGAGAATAGGAATGCCTTTAACCCAACTAAAGAACGAGAGGGAAGATGTAGGAAAGAGGAGGTGTAAGCGGGAGAGGAGGACTCTGGTCAAAAACATGGAGTGCCGCTTTGAGTTCAGAGCAAAACAGTACTTAGAAATTGCACCTCTGCTCAACAGATGCCTAGTACATTGAAGTCATTATACCAAAAGATGTTCGAAACTGGTCAAGAAAAAGACATTCTTAACAGGTTACAGGGAAGTCAGGCACACCCATAAAACCTTCTGTTTGGCTTCACTAATCACCCCTTAGCCAAGGTAAACCAAATGTCTCAATCTGTGCTGTAATTTTATACTGCTATGCAGACTTCAAGTCCATTTCTTGGATTCCAGAGAATGTCTAGTATAAAAGAAAGATATAGGCTCACTTCTGAGTCACTTCCAGAAAAAAAAAATAAGAGGTTTATTTTAAGACTGTGGATGCCTCAGAAGTGGAAATCACCAGGAAACAAGGGGGCTCCAGGTGCAGACACCCTGGGTGTGCACACACTCTATGTGGATTCATCCAAGGGGTCTGGGCATTTCTCTGCATAGCATGCCACCCTCCTGTCCGCCCATGTGCTGTCTGGCTTCCTCAGTTTTGACTCCCTCCTAATGTTAGCTTGTACTTGCCCATCATGGCAACTTGAGCCACTGCCTCATCGGCCTGACTTTTAAATCGCAGTTCTAATTGGTAACTGGAAAATTATCCTAAGTTTGTTCATTCACTCAGTCAAACATTTACTGAGTACCTAATTTGTGCAAAGCACTATCTTGAAGGTAGAAATGCCCAGCTTAAAAAGAAATCAGACTTTTGATCCATGGAACTTAAGTTCTAAGGAATTAGAGGGAGACAGACAACATAGAAAGTATTTCACAAGAACAAAAACACCCCAAACAATCTCATTTTAAAATGGGCAAAGGATTGACTATTTCTCCTAAGATTATATATAAATGCCCAATAAACACCTGAAAAGATGCTCAACATCACTAATTAGAGAAATGCAAATCAAAACCACCATGAGATATCACCTCATACCCATCAGAATGCTACCATTTAAAAAATTGAAAACGTTTTAATAAAAGAAAATAACAGTGTTTGTGATGATGTGGAGAAATTGAAACGTGTGTACTGTTAGTGGGAATGTAAAATGAACAACAGTTGTAGAAAATCGTGTGGTAGCTCCTCAAAGAGTTAAACACAAAATCACCATATGAACCAGCAATTCCACTTCTGGGTATAGTATAGCCAAAAGAAATGGAAGGATCTCAAAAAGATATTTGTCACCCATCTTCATAGCAACATTATTCATAATTGCCCAAAGGAAGAAGCAACCCAATTGTCCATCATCAAATAATTGGATAAACAAAATGCAATACATACATACAATAGACTATTATTAAGGCTTTTATTAAAAAAGCAAACTCTGATGCATGCTTCAACATGGATGAAGCTTGAGGACATTTTGCAAAGTGAAATAAGCCAGACACAAAAAGACAAATACTCTATGATTTCACTGATATGAGGTACTTAGAATAGTCAGATTCTTAGAGACAGAAAGTACAACGATGGTTACCAGGGACTGAGGGGTAGGAATTGGGGAGTTATTATTTAAGGGATACAGAGTTTCAGTTTTGCAAGATAAGAAGAGTTCTGTAGATTGATGGTGGTGATGGTGTACAAGATGAACATATTTAAACAGTACAGTTAAAAATGGTTACGAGGTAAATCTGGTTACCTTATAATCTCATATTAAATAATAATATACATATTATTATAATATATTTTATCTATAGTAAATATGTATTAATAATATGTATCATTTCCAAAGGTGAAAAGTTCTATGGAGAAAATAAAGGCAAGTGGGATAGGGAGTGCTGGAGAGAAGGGAACTCTGAGGGAGAGGAAAGGTTCCTAACCAGCCCAGAGCCCGTGGGAATTAGAGTCCAGGACCTGAGGGGTGACCTGAGAGTCCTGGGCTTCTTGCTGGCAGAGACACAAAAGGATAAGAGGCACATTGAGATAAATCCTGGAGCTCTCGAGCCAGAGGGGTGCTACGGTGGCAATGGTGCCTTGGAAGCACACAGACTCTCCCCCATCCTGACTTTGGAGTCCTGAACCGGTAGACAATGCCTTGGCCTTCACAGTAGGATCCATAGTCTCACCAATTTGTAAGTACAGAAATCTCTGTATTATATCCCTCCACTTAAAATGGTAACTAATCCTGTCATCTGCTCCCAGCGTTGCCATTTAAATATTCTGACTGGGATTGTGGCCGTGGGTACCTGCCAGTAACATGCCCTTGTTAAAAGTCCTAACAAATAAATCTCATTTTTTAGCTCATATCTTCATATCAAACCACTTCCCAGATCACTGGTTACCCTCAAATCAGCTCCTACCCCTGGTCTCGGCAGTGGCTTTAGGCCATGATGGGGTGGGCACAGTGTAAAACGCTCAGAGAACCGTGCCATCCATTACTGTATGAGATGGTGGCACTGGATGTCAGGGCATTAAGTGCATATGCATCCTATTACTATATAAATTTAAACAACTCCTGACACTTGAATATTATCTTTATTTTCACATTTCTTTATCAGAAAGAAAATTCCACAAGTCTCCTTAGTAACCAACACTGGAGGTAACCATCACACTTAACATCCTATATAATAAAAGGCTAATATGCAAATAGACCTAACAGCGGACAACCAGAACAACCAAACAACCGAACAACCAGTCGCTATGATGTGCGCTGACCACCAGGGGGCATGCACAGAACATGGCGGGTGTCGGCCCTGGCGGGATGGTGGAGCAGGTGAACAGGGGTGCCAGACCAAATCGGGGCGCTGGTCGCTGTCATCAGGGCAAGCCCCTGGTGGTTACTAAAAATTCTTTGCCTCCTGCATGCCGCAGTCCTGCCCATCGCTTGCACCTGCTGCCAGCACCGGCCCCACTCGCACCCACTGCCAGTACCTGGTGCCAGCCCCAATCGCTCGGTGCTGTCAGCAAGTGTGAGCAGGGCTGGCGCCATCAGCGTGTGGGAGCAGTGGTGGCAGGAGCAGGCTGCAGGCAGACAGGCGACTGGGGGTCGTGGTGGGAGGGGCCAGGCGGGGAAGCGGAGGATGGGCCGAGACCCACCCCTGTGCCTACCACAGCCTCACAGCCCACAGTTCCTTTTAAGGTGCACAAATTTGTGCACTGGGCCCCTAGTAAATAATAACAGGAAGTTAAACCAGATTAAAACTACCCCATTTTAAATGAACAATTCTAAGTGACTAAGATATTAAGTATTATCAAGTAGCAATGTTCTAAGCTTACTATTTTGATGTTTAAAGATATGACTTTATAACATTCATTCATAAAAACAGAAACACAGTTTTACAACAGTTTAGTAAAAAAATAAACCTAGATAACCAGTCATAGTAGAAACAAAGAGTTTAATACAGCTACATCAAATGCAACCTTTGCAAAACTACTTACATCCAAAGAATCCTCCTTCAGTAGGATGAGGGCCATATTCTGTGATACCAACCGGCAGGAATATCCTAAGTAAAAGAAAAGACAACACATGTGAATTTATCATTCCTTCCTTGAACTAAACGTTTTTCAATGGTTGTTTGAATTCAGGCTCCCTTCGTATATCTTTCTTATTACCACTTTAAAGCTATCGGTTCATACAGAAGAACTGGGCAAAAGTAAGGGGTAGAAAAGTAAGTTTAAATTGATTTTGATTCTTGCAGGCAGTTTGAACAGAACTGGTTGGGAAGGTCTTCATAACTAATGGCTAAAATAAATACTTGTCAATTTTCTGCAGATTTGTCTTTATCCTTATCCTTGTATAACATTAGGATAAGCCTTGGGCTTTCTAAAATAATAGCAAACACTTTAGGGCAGTGGTTCTCAACCTTCTGGCCCTTTAAATACAGTTCCTCATGTTGTGACCCAACCATAAAATTATTTTCGTTGCTACTTCATAATTGTAATGTTGCTACTGTTATGAATCGTAATATAAATATCTGATATGCAGGATGGTCTTAGGCGATCCCTGTGAAAGGGTTGTTCGACCGCCAAAGGGGTCACGACCCACAGGATGAGAACCGCTGCTTTAGGGAGACAAATAAAATCTTACGGTGCCCCTATATCAACATGAACTTGCCTATCATCATATCGAGATCCCTCATCTGCTTTTAAAAAAGCAAGTAATTCTCACAACATATTTCAAAGATATACTGTTCTACATTGAGAGAGTCACTTTTCCTATCAAACAGGCACTTTTCCTATCAAAGCAATCTCCATTTCAAGAATTAAACCTGGATTTTAAAAAGAAGTTTGTTTTGGAACAAAAGTCTTTCAATATTAATTCTTTTCAACAATTTCTATCACCTTTTTATATAAAGTTATCTGTATAAATGATGCAAGAGAGTCTTTTCCACTTTCCCCCAGAAGGTGCACATATTTCCTATGAGGCTCTTTCCTCCTCAGGCTTTGCAGTCCTCTCCGGACAGCTGGAGACACTCTGCCACACCACACACTCAGAGCCTCTCCAGACTCCTCCCCTTCAAATCCACACACTCTGGGAGCAGGCAGCTCCAGCAAACCCCAGGATCAGAACCCTAGCCCTTCTTTCCAATCACCCTCCATCCTCTCAGTGCCCCCTGATAGAGAGCTGGCATCGACATGTGATTTTCACCAATCCTCATCTCATTTTATCTCATTGAGAAAGGACAAGAAAAGATGCCTTCCACTTAGAAAACTGGCCCTCGCAACCACTTGTTTCTCAGTACCTTAAGCTAACAGAGCAATGATTTACAGAAAATGAAACAAATCATCAGCACATAGAATTTCAACCTTGCAGCAAGTACATATGTGATAATCTCAAGAAAGGGCCTTGCCCAGCTGGTGTGGCTCAGTGGTTGAGCATCGATGTATGAACCAGGAGGTTACAGTTTGATTCCAGATCAGGGCACATGGCCAGGTTGTGGGCTTGATCCCCAATAGGGGGCATGCAAGAGACAGCCAATCAATGATCCTCATCATTGATATTTATCTCTCTCTCCCTTCCTCTCTGAAATCAATAAAAATATATTCAAAAGGAGGAGGAGGAGAGGAGAAGGAGAAGGAGAAGGAGAAGGAGAAGGAGAAGGAGAAGGAGAAGGAGAAGGAGAAGGAGAAGGAGAAGGAGAAGGAGAAGGAGAAGGAGAAGGAGAAGGAGAAGGAGAAGGAGAAGGAGAAGGAGAAGGAGAAGGAGAAGGAGAAGGAGAAGGAGAAGGAGAAGGAGAAGGAGAAGGAGAAGGAGAAGGAGAAGGAGAAGGAGAAGGAGAAGGAGAAGGAGAAGGAGAAGGAGAAGGAGAAGGAGAAGGAGAAGGAGAAGGAGAAGGAGAAGGAGAAGGAGAAGGAGAAGGAGAAGGAGAAGGAGAAGGAGAAGGAGAAGGAGAAGGAGAAGGAGAAGGAGAAGGAGAAGGAGAAGGAGAAGGAGAAGGAGAAGGAGAAGGAGAAGGAGAAGGAGAAGGAGAAGGAGAAGGAGAAGGAGAAGGAGAAGGAGAAGGAGAAGGAGAAGGAGAAGGAGAAGGAGAAGGAGAAGGAGAAGGAGAAGGAGAAGGAGAAGGAGAAGGAGAAGGAGAAGGAGAAGGAGAAGGAGAAGGAGAAGGAGAAGGAGAAGGAGAAGGAGAAGCCTTAAGCAATGCTGGTCCTAAAGCAAAGAGAAGCCAGGACTCTCCTTTGCACAACAGCTGAAATACCCTCCCCACAGGTGCTACATTTAACTAGAAAAGGAGACAGGCATTGAATAATGGACATGTCACAGCACCACTGCATGTTTGTGCTCAATTCTCTTCAGCAGGTCTTTTTTCATCTTGAGGAAACCCTGCTAAAAGGCACACAATTTAATTCAAGACAGGCAAGAATTAAGAACAAGGAAATCATTGGTTTGTTTGTTTGTTTGTTTGTTTGTTTGTTTTGGAGGTAGACAAATATTTTTGTTTGTTTATTTGGGAATATATGAAGTACATATATCCTTCACTGTCATTTGAGAGGGATATTTTATAAATCACCACAGACACAAATGTTAAAGCACAAAATTATGCCTTTTAACCCAACTGCTATTTTTTTAAAGCAATGCCATAAAAATATAGCTCAAGCTGTTAACAATAGTTATCTCAAGGAAATGAGGTTATTTCGCTTATTAAAACCACGTATCATTTTAAAAATTGAAACTAACTGAATAATTTAAAATCATCATAGCACATGGGCTAATATCTGCTAAACCTCTAGAACAAAACAAACAAAAAAGGAAGAAAACATGAAACAATTTTCTATGCATTTTCAAACTCGTTCATGTCTATATTTTAACAATAGTGATGAGTAAAACTGAGAACTTCCCAGCATGCCAGTAAAATTTCTGCATAGTAGGGCTAAAATAATTGAACTCTTTGTTTCCTGTTAAAATTTTACAAATTTATTTATCCTTCCCATAAAGTCTTAGATTAGGTCCAGAAGGGAGATCTATATTTTATTTTCATTCACAAAAGGGGATATTGCAACCTTAATCACTTCCCTCTATGTTAGGCTTACTCCTTCTTTATCCCCAGAGACTTCCAGCAACTTAATGCAATATGGACTGTTGCAAGTTTAGTATAACTGATGCAAAAGGATTTGCTGGTAGTTCTTTATTTAAGCAACAGCTGCAGAAGTGAGCTGTAATTTTTAAGCCCTAGCTTGCTGCTTTACTCTATATTTTTCAATTTAAGAGAAATGCCACTTGACAACTGAAGCTGCACAAAGACATTATGGGAAAACTTGAAGTATTTTTTTAACCCATTGCAAGGAGAGGGCAATAAATAAAACCACTGACACTTTCATGAATTTTAATATAGAAAGCTAAAGGTTTCAGAGAAGAAACAGGTTGTTGGTGGTGGTTTTTAAATTTGGAAAATGAAGTGAGATTTTGCTTAGAGAATTATCACACAGCACACTTGCTCTAGATAGACCATGGAAGTTTAACACAGTTAATTGTGACTTAGCTAATGTGGCAAATCAAATTATGTCAATTCAGGTTTGGAGTGCTTGATTTCTAATGTTTTTGGATAAAATGAGATCAACTCTTGGAGAAGAGCCAGGTATAAAATGTCAATCCACACTTGTAAATTGAGATCTAGTTCTTTAATCTCACAGTCTAACAAGACGACCATAAAATGACTGAGACAGAACCTCTGGGATTTCACTTTTTACTACATCTGAAACGAATGCACACTACAAAGGTCTTAGTCTTTCAACTACCTGAGTACAATCAACATTCAGAGAAATCAAAATAGTACAGTCTATGGTACTTAGAGGACTTTATTTTAAGACAATAAAATAACAATTCACACTAGAAAATATTACCAAACCAAATTTCTCAGTTTTTGCACCAGTATCTCTTTTTTTATGAGGCAAGCTCATATTATTAAAGACTAGAGGCCCAGTGCATGAAAATTCATGCACTGGTGGGGGTTCCCTCAGCCCAGCCTTACCCCCTCTCACAGTCTGGGAGCCCTCAGGGGATGTCCTACGGATGGCTTAGGCCTGCTCCCCATGGGGAGCGGGTCTAAGCCACAGTCTGGCCTCCCTCTGCAGGATGCAACCTGGAGGATTAGGGGAAGGCGCCGCCTCCATCACCACGCCGCTGCTGCCAAAGCTGGTCGCAGGGGCTGCTGACCCTTGGCCCTCACTTCTTAGCACTGGCCCTGCCCCCTGCCCACTTGTGTGTGGGGGGGCCGATCTGGGGCCAGGCCGGCTGGGGGAGGGGCTGTGGGAGGTTGAGGAACCACGGTCGAACCCTGCCCAGCCTCTGCGAAGGCTCCAGGACCTCGGGCCGCCCTGCCTCTCCCAGCGCTGGCTCTGCCTCTGTGGAAGGAGGGGCTGTGCGGCGCGGGTGGGACGGGGCCCAGGCCCTCGGCACCGCTGCATCTCCTGCGCCACTGGCCCCTGGCCCTTGCAGCCACTGCAGCTTTGTCCGGAAGGACATCTGGAAGACATCTGGTCTAATTAGCATATTACCCTTTTATTAGTATAGATATCCAAATCCACTTTTTTGGTTACAGTTTTGGAAAGGTTAGGAACAATTTATCCTTCCTGATCATACATCCTAAGATCAGATTAATCAAGCTAGGCACTTTTGGGATTCAACATGATTCCAAACCCTCACCAAGTATGTTGCTGCCTCTAAATATTTTCACAGAGAAAGCGGTCAATCATTATTTGAGTGTGAGTGTATGGAGCATATTGTCAGACATCAGGAATGGATGATAAAACTTTACTATTCCAGATGGGGCCACAAAGGCTCGGTACGGTGTTCTTAAGTCATCTGTAGAATGAAGAAGCCAAGGATTTGCCCGTAGAACCACACCTGGGCACCTTTCCCTCCAGACCCTTCAGACCCTTCCCAGGGATGTTCCATCACATGTAAGCACACACTCAGCCTTGCCTTGTAGTCTTCTCCCTGAACTGGCCTATCGTGACCCATTCTGTGCTCAGTCTTTTTTTTTTTTTTCCTCTTCAACAAACTCTT